ACTCAAACAACAAGTGTTTAGACCTTTTTGCTGTCCAGATTTTTAAAAATGTTCAGATTTCAGTTTTCTGAGGTTTAGGATTGTTTTGTCCGTTCTTCACTTTTTGTGCTTTATTTACATTTTGGTGCTTTTTGCTTCTAAATCTTTCAAAACATTCAGCTCGTTTTAACAGTTTTGCTTAGTTTCAGCTTCAGCAATTAGTTTCTGAATTCAGCATATGATGCTAATTTCACAGTTCAGCTAAATGTAAAAATTAAACTGTTGAACTAGTCCTACTAAAATAACAGGTGTTTAGACATTTTACCTGTCCAATTCTTTTAGACAGTGTTCACAGATTTGAGTTTTCTGCTATTTAGAATTAGTTTTTTTGATTCTTCACTTACTTTTTGTGCTTTTTTTTTGCTTCTTTGTGCTTTTTGCTTTCACATCTTTCACTACGTTCAGCTCATTTAACAGTTTAGCTTAGTTTCAGCTTACTTCAGCTATTCAACAACTTCAGCAATCCGTTTCTGAATTCGGCTTATGCTACTCATTTCACAGTTCAACTAAAAATTAAACTGTTAAACTAGTCCTACTCAAACAACAAGTGTTTTCACATTTTTGCTGTCCAGATTTTTAAATAATGTTCAGATTTCAGTTTTCTGCTGTTTAGGATTGATTTGTCCGGTCTACACTTTTTGTGCTTTATTTACATTTTGGTGCTTTTTGCTTCTAAATCTTTCAAAAACATTCAGCTCATTTTAACAGTTTTGCTTAGTTTCAGCTTCAGCAAATAGTTTCTGAATTCAGCATTTGATGCTAATTTCACAGTTCAGCTAAATGTAAAAATTAAACTGTTGAACTAGTCCTACTGAAATAACAGGTGTTTAGACATTTTACCTGTCCAATTCTTTTAGACAGTGTTCACAGATTTGAGTTTTCTGCTATTTAGAATTAGTTTTTTTGATTCTTCACTTACTTTTTGTGCTTTTTTTTTGCTTCTTTGTGCTTTTTGCTTTCACATCTTTCACTACGTTCAGCTCATTTAACAGTTTAGCTTAGTTTCAGCTTACTTCAGCTATTCAACAACTTCAGCAATCCGTTTCTGAATTCGGCTTATGCTACTCATTTCACAGTTCAACAAAAAATTAAACTGTTAAACTAGTCCTACTCAAACAACAAGTGTTTACACCTTTTTGCTTCCAGATTTTTAAATAATGTTCAGATTTCAGTTTTCTGCTGTTTAGGATTGATTTGTCCGGTCTTCACTTTTTGTGCTTTATTTACATTTTGGTGCTTTTTGCTTCTAAATCTTTCAAAACATTCAGCTCATTTTAACAGTTTTGCTTAGTTTCAGCTTCAGCAATTAGTTTCTGAATTCAGCATATGATGCTAATTTCACAGTTCAGCTAAATGTAAAAATTAAACTGTTGAACTAGTCCTACTAAAATAACAGGTGTTTAGACATTTTACCTGTCCAATTCTTTTAGACAGTGTTCACAGATTTGAGTTTTCTGCTATTTAGAATTAGTTTTTTTGATTCTTCACTTACTTTTTGTGCTTATTTTTTGCTTCTTTGTGCTTTTTGCTTTCACATCTTTCACTACGTTCAGCTCATTTAACAGTTTAGCTTAGTTTCAGCTTACTTCAGCTATTCAACAACTTCAGCAATCAGTTACCAAATTTAGCATATACTGCTAATTTCACAGTTCAGCTAAATGTAAAAATTAAACTGTTAAACTAGTCCTACTGAAATAACAGGTGTTTACACATTTTAGCTGTCCAATTTTTTTAAACAGTGTCCACAGATTTGAGTTTTCTGCTATTTAGGATTAGTTTTCTTGATTCTTCACTTACTTTTTGTGCTTTTTTGCTTCTTTGTGCTTTTTGCTTTCACATCTTTCACTACATTCAGCTCATTTAACAGTTTAGCTTAGTTTCAGCTTACTTCAGCTATTCAACAACTTCAGCAATCAGTTAGCAAATTTAGCATATACTGCTAATTTCACAGTTCAGCTAAATGTAAAGATTAAACTGTTAAACTTGTCCAACTGATATAACAGGTGTTTAGACATTTAAGCTGTCCAGATTTTTATACAATGTTCACAGATTAAAGTATTTTTTTTTTTTTTTGCTATTTAGCATTATTTTTCTCTATTCTTCACTGACTTTTTGTGCTTTATTTGCTTGTTGGTGCTTTTTGCTTCTACATCTTTCAAGACATTCAGCTCATTTTGACAGTTTTGCTTTGTTTCAGCTTCAGTTAAGCTGTTCAGCAGCTTCAGTTCAGCTGTTCAGCAGCTTCAGCTTACAGTTTCAGCTATCCAGCATTCAAACAGCATTTGTGCAATAAATGCAATTTTTCTAGTTTTATTTTGTTTAATTGTGCATGCAATTTGTGTGTATACTCATCACCATGTTCAATAAAGCTTTTATTTAAAAAAAGTCTGTTATTTTATTTCCTGCTTACTCCTAGGCCCATCTGTTCAGGACTCTGGTACCGCGGTACCTATTACACACCAGCTAATAAGCCCTGGTTATTAAAGACTGGGTTGGACTAATCTTACTTTAGTGTTTATTTCAGGTGATGAGGATCAGTCAGGACAGGTCCAGACTGGTTTGTGCTTATGCACCAAACTGCTGCAGCCTATATCCACTTTTTTTGGAGTTCCTGGAGGAGGTTCTCGAGCGTGCTCTTTCTGGTTACTCCCTCGTTGACCTGGGTAGTGATGTGACATTCATGAATGAATCAAATCTTTTGAACGGGTTTTCAAAGTGAATGATGAGAGCCGAGACCCTGTAGAGAGCCGTTCATCTTAACAAACCTCTCTGGAAGTCGGTCAGACTCACCCGCTCAAACCCCACCCACCGCTGACGGACGTGGGAGGAACCATAGAAACATGTGTTTATATACATATCTCGGGAGGAATGCTAACCCCGTGCGCCCTCAAGCAAGACTTCTGTATGGCTTCGAGGAGATTCTGGTCCACCATCCTATGTCTCAGGAGGGGGAAGCAATACCAACACTGTTTATAGTGGGGACAGTGTGCTGCTGACCTCCACCTGCGAAGTTGTGGATCCGTGGGTGGAGTACTTTAAAGACATCCGCAATCCCACCGGCATGTCTTCCAGCGCAGTTTGGGGACTTTGGGTTGAACTCTCCAATCTCTGGTGCTGAGGTCACGGAGGTGGTCAAGACGCTCCTTGGTGGCAAGGCTCCAGGGGTGGATGAGATCTTCCTGGAGTTCCTTAAGACTCTAGATGTTGTGGGGCTGTGTAGGCTGACACGGCTCTGCAATATCGCGTGGACGTTGGGGGCAGTCCCACTGGATTGGCAGACCGGGGTGGTGGTTCCCCTATTTAAAAAGGGGCACCGCAGGATGTGTTCCAATTACAGGGGCTCACACTCCTGAGCCTCCCTGGTAAGATCCATTCAGGGGTTCTGGAGAGGAGGGTCCATCGGATTCTTGAACTTCAGATTCAGGAGGAACAATGTGGCTTACTGGATGCGCACTATACCCTTAGAGGGGTCCTGGAGGGTGCGTGTGAGTTTGCCCACATGTGTTTTGTGGATTTGGAGAAAGCATTCAACCACATTTCTTTAGGGGCCCTGTGTGTGTGTGTGTGTGTGTGTGCGCGCGTGCATGCGTGCGTCCGTGCGTCCGTGCTTGTGTGTGTGGGTACTCTGGGAGTACTGTGGGTGTTGTACCGATCTGTCGTTGTGAGGAGAGCTGAGCCAGAAGGCGAAGGCCTTGATTTACCGGTCGATCTACGTTCCTACTCTCACATATGAACACGAGCTTTGGGTAGTGACCGGAAGAACGAGGTCACGGATACAAGCGGCCGAAATGAGTTTTCTCCACAGGGTGTCTGGGCGCCCCCTTAGAGATAGGGTGACAAGCTCGGTCATCCGGGAGGGGCTCGGAGTAGACCCGCTGTTCCTCCATGTCAAGAGGTGCCTGTTGGGGTGGTTCGAGCATCTGGTCAGGATGCCTCCTGGACGCCTTCTTGTTGAGGTTTTCCAGACATGTCTAACTGAGAGAAGACCCAAGGGAAGGCCCAGGACACACTGGAGGGACATGTTTCTCGGCTGGCCAGGGAACGCTTTAGGATTTCCCCGGAGGAGCTGGCCCAAGTGGCTGGGGAGAGGGAAGTCTGGGCCTCCTTGCTTAGGCTGCTGCCCCCGCGACCATCCTCCGCATGAGCGGCTGACACTGGATTCTTTGCTGCAGCTCACACCAGGACCTGGACAGGTGGGAATTTTAAAGTGTCTAGGAATTATCTATCAATAACGAGCTGTTGAAAAAAGTTCCCAGTTGTGATGTCACAATCAGAAAAATTAGCATAGAACCCTAAACCCATAGAACTGCATTGGTGACTTGGCGTTATAGAAGTAAACTGAATTGGATTAAATTCATCCTCGGAAGAAGGGTGAACATGATTACAATAACAGTTCCACTAATTACTATTTTTGTGTGAAGTTTTGTTTTATTCATTTGTTTTGCTGAAGAAATAAAACTTTTAATTTGAAGTGATTTTTATTCTGTGGGCTTGAAGGGCCACATGGATGAGTCCGTTTGAGATGAAACCACTGCAGACGTGTTTGATACCAACACCTTCATCAGGTGACTTTTAAGCTCATTTGGTTTATTTTCATGAGAATAAAATGTGTATAAATATTTTATTGGGTACAGACAACAGAAACTAATGTTTTGACACCTTATGTGTCTCCGTATTTCTACAGGTTTGAGTGCTCCAGCTGTAGAGCACCAGCCTGAGTGGATGACGTGCAGAAAGTTTTATCTTCTGCTTTGGTTTATTTTTAATTACTTGAGAAAAACGATGAAAGGTGTGTGAGTCGTCATGATGTCATTTACAGTTTTTACAGGGAAATGAACGAGTGAATAGGACTAAACTCCCATCATTCTGAGTGCTGCTTAAATTCCCTCTGAGGGCCATAAACGGCCCGTGAGCCACACCGTGGACACGTCTGTTGAAACGGGTCAAAGGAACACAGACCATTTCTCTGTTTCAGTAAAAAAAACATTTAATGACACGTCAGGTTTGTTAAATGTCAGATAAAAAAATGGTTGTGAGAAAAGTCTGAGCCGCAGGTTCCTCCAGTGCCGCGTGGTTCTAGCTAGCCCCGGTGGCTTTCTACATGTTAGTCATGGCTCTCGTGAGTTTGTGCAGCTGCTCGTGGTTCTGGCTGTGCAGGTGGCAGTCCGGGGTCACCGCTTCGGCCCCTGAGAGAACCTTACGCTCAAGTCCGCTTAAGCGCAGGCCCTCCAGAGGTCCAAAACTCGAGTATCCGGCCATGAAAGGGGAGGTGTAGTACAGTGGTGGGGCGTATCCATGAGACAGAGAGCTCCGCCCCCTGCACTGTGATGAGTCACTGCTCCCTGTGGCCATCTGAGCCAGGGACCAAAGTTTAGGTTTTGGGTTTTGTCCCTCGGTGCCACCGCACGAGTCCACCTGCTCTTCAGACGGGAGGCTCGGAGACAACGTGTGTTCTGACCCGCGGACTCTGAGGGTTCTGCTCGGAGGATGGGCTCCTGACCCAGAGTCTGGACCCAGTATGTGACTCCGGTCACCAGAGTCCAGATGTACGAGACTGTGGTTGGTTCTGGTTTTGTCTTGGAATAGCAATGGACATGAGTCTGTAGAGAGAACAGAACCTGACCAAAACAGAAAGCATGGATCAGAACCAGTGATCAGTAAAACATTAGACACACTTGGATCCCAGCCCGTTCACAGACCCAGTTCAGGTTCTGATCTGGCCCGGTCCAGTTACTGAACCTCATTCATCTAAAGGAACTCAAAGAATAAAATAGATTCTGAGCAACAACGAATAAATCAGGATTTTCCTTATAAATCACAGAAAATTCCAGAATAACCAGAGTTTATATTTCCCGAGCGTGGCCGTGTCTGCAGCTCAGACCGTCTGAACCTTGACCCCCCCTTGAATCGCTCACTTACCAGCACTTGTGCTCCTCATCTCCAGCTCTTCACCATGCAGCTTCATGGACTCATCATGGTTCTCTAGGTCAACGGTATCCTCCTCCTCCTCGTCCTCACTCCGGTTGCGAGGTGTCCAAGTCATTTTGTTCTCCTTCTTCAGCCTTCGCCGAGCGTTGGCGAACCAGGTAGACACCTGTGTCAGTGTCATCTTGGAGATGATTGCCAACATGATCTTCTCCCCCTTGGTGGGGTACGGGTTCCTCCTGTGCTCGTTGAGCCAGGCCTTCAGCATGGCCGTGGCATCTCGCGTGGCGCTCTTCCTGTAGGATGGGTCTCCGTAAGCGAAGGACCCCAGGGGCCCAAAGGGGCGGTAGTCCAAAGATCCTGAGACACCTGAAGAGGGATCATAAGCTGCACTCTGAAACACAAAACCCAGAGACGGTTTAGAGAGACCTGCTGCTAGCTACTCCTTTTTCACATCTTTTGGCAGCTGGTCTCTGAACAGCTGCGTGTAATCATAATGGACTAATGAGGTCAGGAAAGGCCAGATAAAAAAAAAACAACATTCAGTCACACAACAGCTGGTAGAAATTATTCAGTCTGAGGAAATTTAATAGATAAATTCCAACTAAATCTCATCCCCCCCCCCCACAAAATAAACCTTTTCTATGTGTAAAATTATTCTTAAATATTACATTTTGTTTAATGTAAATATAATAAAACATATTTGGTTTTAAATATTCACATCATTGTAAATATTTTATATCAGGTTAGGTTAATAAATAATTATTATAATTAATCTGGGAATAAAAATAAACATTTTAATATTTTACTTATTGAAATTAAATAGTTTCTATGGATCATTAATTATCATATAACTATCCCTTTCACATCCATTATTAATGTTTTTCTCTAATTTTCTTCTTGACTCGACTTGAAAAAAATACATTATTATTATTATTATTATTATTATTATTATTATTATTATTACTATTATTGTTGTTATTATATTGTTATTATTTTATTGATTACTATTATTTTTATATTATTATTTAATTTATTGTTATTACTATTATTATTATTATTATTATATTATTTTTATTAATATATTTGTATTATATTGTTACTACTATTATTGCTGTTATTATTATATAATAATTATTTATTTGTGTTATTAATACGATTATTATTATTGTTATTATTTTATTATATTATTTTTTCTGTGCCTGCCCTGCTTCCCGCCATAAACCAGCCCTCGCTCCGGTTCCGCTCCGGGTACTCACCACAAACGAGCTGACTGCGGTGGCGCGCGGCTCTCCGCCGATCGGGAGGTGAGACGCCGCTGATGCGGAGTACGGAGCGAAGGCGGAACCCGAAGCGGAACCGAGTTCCTCCGTCCTGGGTCCCACAATGACCCCGGAACCGATAGGCAGAGCCAGAGACATGGTCGGTTGGAAGAGGAAACCCTGAGGAAAAGCCATGGCGGGTGGCGCGCGGAGCCAAACTTTTACGCACGGACCAAGTCACACCTTAGAGCGGCAGAGTGAGGAGGCGAGGATGGAGAGGAGAGCTTCCAGGAGCATCTCAGGTGCGTGCAGGTGCCGGTCGTGCTGCTGGTTCAGGTTTCAAGGTCCTGCAGCTGCGGACACCGAAGACTGAAGAGAGGAGGACGGGCTGAGCTCCTCCTCCTCCCCCTCACGCGCACTTCCTTCTGCAAACAACTGAGTCGGAGTCCAGAATCAGATGGGTTCGGACCGGTCCACTGAAACTGTTAAAGGGTTTTATTTGTAAATCTTCTGTTTAGATAAAAAAATTAAAGGTTGGTTAGGTAGCAGTTAAGGTGAAGCAGGTGATGTAGCCCCTCCTGTTCTAGCTCAGGTGGACTTCCCATCCTAGAGTCTAAACGGGTCACTGGATACAGCTGCTGTTCAGAACCTTCACCTGCCCGCTGATGATGTCACTCTCTCATCATCAAACCAGTAAAGGTGTGTGAGGATTCTTCCAGCTGCTGTCCTCTGACCCCAGCTTTAAAGTCTGGAGCATTTTTACATGTAGCTTGAAATGTTCTCCACACACTGATGGCTAACAAAAAAAAAAAAAAAAAAAAAAAAGAAGAAGAAGAAGAACTTTCAGTCAGAAGAACAAATTATTTGAATCCCAGAAACATAAAATCCTGGAAAATCCTCATCCAGTCACAGAGAAGCCCTGTTCTAAATGACTGGATCCTTCTGCCACTCTGCTCCATAGCTGGGCGGCAGCGTTAATCTCATTTTCTCTAATTAGGGGAGCTTCTCTCAGCAGGAGGAGGAAGACTGCTGATACTCTTCATCAGTGTCCCGGGCGCAGCTGACCGGTGTGCTTCTGTCTGGACAAGCAGGACGAAGACACGGCAGGTAAGACCATGGAGGGGTGGAGTCAGGTGAAGCTCTTCCTGCTGGACCACCTCTCAGTTCCAGACTTTCTCAGACTGGGACGGAGGCACTTGCAGGAGTTGGATCTCTGCAGGATTTAGAAGACCATGAGTCCTGCAGCAGGTCCAGTCGGTGGTTCTGTGTTGATGAGGCCCAGCGGAGCAGCAGAGGTTCTGATGACCGTTGGGTTCTGATCCGAGTCCCCGGCAGCCCTGCCATCACAACGGTGATGTTTGCATGAGGAGAGTCAGATTTTCATCTCCCAGGTCCCGAAGCTTTGTGAGGATTTTCACATGAAAGGCTCGGAGCCCTGGGGCGGAAATCCAGAGGTCACCTGACGACGGAGTGTTTAATTAATCGGAAAACTCTTTTAGTATTCCAGACCGTGTTATCGGAGTGCAGACGTAATTACCTCCTGTGGGATTCCTGCAGGCAACAGCTGATCCTCCTGGTTCGCTGTTGTTTTCCCGCCTGCAGGTCGGTGAAACACAAAACACCAAAGCCACAGGTGTGGTCCAGAGCTGCTGGTTCAAAACCGCTCAGATCTTTTCATCTTCATTCTGGCCTGTTTAAAGCTTCAGTGAAGATGTGAACTTGTTCTGGTTCTGTTGGTTCGACCCGGTTTGGTTTTTAGTTCTGTAACAGAGCTCTGCAGGTGTGGATGGATCTCTTGGTTCTGATGGTTCTGTTGGACCCGTGTTCATGTTTTAATCTGTAATAAGAACACCTTCCTGTTTTATTTTGCAAGGGTTTGTTCAGCTTCCTGTTTCCATGTCACTTGGATCAAACTGGATCAGGACCATCCAGGTTTGCTGTTACATCTGGACCATAAAGGTGATGAAGATCCTCCTCCATGGAGGTCCATCCAGCAGAGTGCCACAGTGATCCAACAGGACATCCAGTCCAGGACCAGAACCAGGAGCAAGGTGAGCAGGACTAGAAGAACCGTGAGTCATCAGGAGAAGGAGCCCAATCAGAGAGATTTGATATTTTCTTTTTGTTTACAAGAAGCTTAAAGGTCAAAGTTCATCTGATGTTCTGGGTCTGAAGCTGCACTCAGGGCGGGTTGAAGTGCAGCTGGAGGAGCCAACAGAAAGTTCTGGTGGGAGGTGTGATCACACCTTGATTCTGGGAGGCATGCGCTCTGCTCGCCCAGCGCTGCGGCTTCAACCAGAAGGTCTGAGAGCAGAAACAAACACCGGAGCTGCTGCACAACCAGAACCACCAGCAGGAGATGAGATGGGTCCAGACATCACAAAGTCCAGCTGGTCCTGGTTCTTCATCTTTCTCTAATTAAACCTCATCTTCATTAGATGAGGTTTGGGTTTGTTCTCCACCAGAACCACTCAGTCCAGTTGAGATCAGGACCCTTTGCTATGTGGACAAAACCACCTTCCTCCAGGACCTGACTTCACTTTCATCTAAGCTCTAGAGGTCATGACCTCCAGCTCTGATCCTTCACCTGACCACCACAGTGGAGCAGAACCAGACCAGAACCAAGCTAAAGTTCTGGAACCACCTCTCAGGTCCTGGTTCAGGTCTTTAAAGTCCCTGACCCAAAACAGACCCCCCCCCCAACCACAACCATGGGGGTCCAGGTAAACTGCAGATGTTCCTGAGTGAGTCTGAACCTCTGTTTCTGTTTCCAATCAGCTTCCTGTCTGGATCAGAACTGGGCCCAGCTGGACCAGGTGTCAGCGCCAGCTCATCACAATGAAGCTGAGGAGTCCGCCGGCAGCGTCTCCAAGGCGACAGAGGTGAGTCCAGAGACAGAAGATGCTGCTGGGGGATGATGTTATCTCTATTCATGAGCTCAGCTGTCGCTTCGGTCTTCGTGGCTGTCTTTGTTCTCAGGTAGCTCCTTCATCATCTCTGCCTTTGTTCTGGTTCTAAACGACGCCTCTGATCAGGTTCTGTCCTGACAGCGGCTCTTCAGCTGCCTGTCACTTTTCCAGCGCTGCTGTGTTCTGTCACACGGCGGGTTTTAATGGCCTGGGGTCTCATTCATCAAACATTGCGTAGTCCTTACTAAAACCGTACTTAAGCTCAGCAAAAAAAAAAAGTACTTACGCCAAGTAGGTTTGTGATCCATCAGACATGGAGAACGCACAGCTGCACGCAATCTCCTCTTCATAAATCAGAGACTAACGAGAATGTTTCTCAGCTGCATTTTAGTCACATCCCGCCCTCACCACGCCCACTTACTACCATAAATAGTCAATGCAAAGTGCCTTGTGGATCTCATGCATATACGTAAGCCGGCTGTTGCAGTGCTCCGCCAATGACATGGCGACCGTAGATCAAGGCAGATTAAGGAAGCGCAATTTCACAGAAGCAGAAATTGAGGTCCCTGTGGGTGAGGTGGAGAAATGAAAGGAAGTGCTTTTGCAAAACAAATAAGAGAAAATCCACGGAGTGGCACAGCGTTGCTGAAGCCGTCAATGTTGTGAATTCTTCAGAGAGATCTGTGGCGGACATAAAAACATGGTCCAATCGGGATTCGATTCCCAGACTCCCAGGTGAAAGTCATGTGCGCTAACCAGTCTGCCAACAGGAGATCTTCCCTGTACAAGTAGCCAGGGCGCATGATCAATCGAGTCACAATGACAGGACACACACTGTCACAGACGCATGACATTCTGTCTCAATCTGTCCCCCTGTCCGTATTCTGTGCTTCAGGCTGTGTGTGTGTGTGTCTGTGTGTGTGAGTGTGCGCGCATGTGTGTGTATGCGCATGTGTGTGCGTGTGGGGGTCTTGTTCTGTGATAAAATGAAGCAGTAGAAGTGATAATGCTGCAGTATTTCATAATTTTATCCTTCTCAGCAGCAGCACTGCAGGTGCTCTCCATGTCCAAAATGTGCGTAAGCCAGGTCCTTAGTCAACTTAAAGTTGTGCACATTGTTCCGCTGAGTTTTCTTTCATAAATCCCAAAGTTTGCGTGGAAAGTTGCTTACGTAGTTTTCCGACCCCGTTTTGGGCGTAAGCAAGCTTCACAAATGAGGCCCCCAGGTTTTGGTTCTGCTTTCGTCTCAAACATGCAGCTGACTCTTTTACTTCCTGTCGTCTCCAACATGGCTGCTAGTGGCTGCAGTGTCTCAACAATAAAGCTGTCACCAGGTGAGACCACACGGATCATCTGAGCTGTGTGTTGTTTCTTAGTCAGGGAAACTTCCCACTCATTTACACCAAGGGGGCAGGGCTAAAACCTTCTAGAACCAAGCCAGGTGCATGGACTTCTACGTGTTTCCCTGTGTGCACCCTGAGGAGGTGATCTGGACCGGATCTGGGTTGAGATGCAGAAGTGGTGGCGTACTCCTCTGATAGAGGTTCTGATGGACCTCCACCTCTGCTTCCTGATGTAAACAAGTTCTGATGGAACAAAGACACTGATATGGAGGAAGTTTTCTAGCCGTCAGAAAAATGACAAAAACTCTTCCTAAGATAGTGATAGGAGAACTAATCTGAATGCAAATAGGATTAGAGCGCCTGCTTTAGCATCTGATAATCAGTTTACAGGCCTGAGTCTTCATCGTGGGGGTGGGGCTGGTGTTAACCATCATGCAGATAAAGACTCGTGAGAGCACCAGCAGCCTGATGCAGATGCTCCTCAGAGTCGTCATGGTTTAGAGAGCAGAAGGTCTGTTCCGATCAAACACAAACAGGAAGTGCACAGAATGATGTCAGCTGGGTTCAGCGTCTGCAGCCAAACTAAAAATGTTGTGGTCAGAATCAAGCTGGTTCACTTCCAGCGAGTCTGAGTCAGAAGCAGCTTGATGAGATCAGAACGCATCGGGACTAAAAAGATCCCACTGATTAGATCTGCTGATCTTGGGAAGAGCCGGGTTGTCCTCCCGGATTCAAACTCATCCTGATCCCTTATCCTCCTGAGGTAAAAACAGACTCCGCCTCCACACGCACGCTACAGGGTGACACGGGAATGGATTGTCTTTGCTTTCCCAACTCACTCCCATCTCAAAGAAATGCTCTTGTCCCAATCCCAGGCAGCAAGGAAAAATAAAATCCTCTCCCATCCCAATGACATCATTCCCACTCCCTCCCAGTCCCAGCAGGTGTTTTTAAGGTGTGGCGATTTTAAACCAACCAACCAACCAAACAACCAACCAACCAACCAAACAAACAAACAAACAAACAAACAAACTAATGTAATGATTTAATTTACATCTATTTAATGAACCATAAGATGTGAGATTCCATAGGAAATATGAAATCAATCTTATGGACCTTTGGGTACTTTTAACCAGAAGTTTGGAACTTTTTATTGCAGGGATTATGTAACACTTCGTATTAACTGAGAGACAAGAGAAGAGAGAGTCACCTTTAAAACGTTTAAGAAGATTAATTTCTAAACAATTTTAAACAAGACTAACTCTAAACTCTAAGTGAATGGATGGATCTTGGTGTGAATGAGACATGAAATGAACGGTGTGTGTGTGAGTGATGTTGTCATCAGAACTCTCGGATCCGGAGAAGCAAGTCTGAATGATGTTGTGATGTTTTGCTCTTAAGCTATGATCGGAGATTCATAAACACATGAGACGCCATTTTGTTTCTCCACACATACCCTAAGGATGAGACATCCGTACAGAACCAGAATGCCAGGTCCTCGGACCCCCCTTTCGGTACCGGAGCCGACGAAACAGCGTCAGCAGTACAATAGACTAGTCTTTGGATTGTCTCCTTGTAAAAAGCGACAGTTGGTTGACAGCGTCAGATGGACCCGGAGGGTCAGTGAGTTCAGCGTTTATTCTGAAAGGAACCGTTGCTTGGTTGGTAAAGTGCAACAGATTTTATCCAGCTTGTGGGTTCTTTGCTTAAAAAGGAAGTCCGGGTGGCCGGTCCGATACTTCTCTTAGAACACGGTGAACTGACTTAAGATGGCGTGGGGACTGGTTTTATTAATCTGGATGTTTTGATTTACGGTCGAATCAAAGTTTGACAGATTTATAAACACCACAGAGACTATGCCACGCTTCAGAAAGGAAGGTTCCGATTGGATGAGAAAGACAAAATGTGTCATGTGGCTTTAAGCATTACATGGATCCGGATGTCTAGTGCAGCTAGATTAAAGTCATATTACTTATTAAAACTTACCAATCATAACATTGTCATTTCACAGATTGGTTCACATCTTACTATTGGACTAACACCATGTTTGATTAGCTTTATTAAAAATAGAAAGAGTTTGTCTTCTTTCTTCTCTTGAGCTGGAAAGGGAGCAGTTTTGGAAGCAAATGCATGGCCTTGAGGCAGTCTCATGCAGATTAGTTCTGTGTAACGTGAGGAAATATGGGTTTTCTGTGCCAAAGGTCATTTGACTCGGCTGGGTCAAGTGCTGGGTCGCTGAGAACTTTCACCCACAGATTAAGACCTGAACGCCAGCGAGTCTGGGAGAAACCATAACATCTGAACACCTGCAAAGCCAGAAGATGTGTTCCCATGGAAAAGCTAGTCTTAATAGAGTCTTACGCTTCCTTTGTTTATTAATGCTAAATAATCATTTTACCATTTTACTCATTATAAATGTGTTTTAATCAAATGAATGATTATTATGCTTTGGGTAATCATAATAACTAATGAATCACTGCTTAATTAAATAATGTTCTGAGGATGTTTTAGTGGTGACCTTCACACACTCAAACACTCACACACACACATCTGCTCTCACAGTAAACTCCAAAACACATTTGCTGACGCACACGTTTTGCTTTGAGAAGAGAAAGGCTTTTGGTAAGTTTCAGTTCATGATTCAGTTCGAGTTGGTCAACGAGAGAGAGAGGACGTGAATTACAACCGCTAACGGGGGAACGGAGCCTTTCTTCCCCCCTCTCACGCTATTCCTGCCAAGACAGACAGGAATAGCTGAATTGCAACAACTAACGCGGACTCGCCTCGAGTCCTTTGATTTCTGAGTAAACTAAGCTTAAGAAAACGCATCTGCAAACGTTTTTCCATCAACGTGTACCGCGGGCATCTCTGGACCGGGTCGCGGACATCTCCGTCTCCTCTGCCAGCCGCTGGTGTCACCTGGATGAAACATCACCATTCTCTGGCGTCCCGGATCTAAAAGAGGGTCCGACTTTAGGTGAGGCAGTCCACGGCAGATAACGTTTTGATGCATCTTTTCCAACAAAACGTAAGTTTATTCAAACCATCACTTTTCACTCAGACACCTGTTTCTTCCTGAAGCAAAATCTAACGCACACACACGCACTCAGCTCACCTCATGTTCAATCTTCACACATTCACCACAAGGTCTATTTGAACAAGCATATCAACTGTTAAAGATTGTCCCACAAAGTTGCCAATGTTGATTGTCATTTCCATGTTTGTCATTTCAAAAATCATTAGTTTAGTTTGAAGAATCAAAACTTTTAACTTTCAAACTTGTTTCTTCATTGAAATGAAACACAGACACACGGATATTATTGTCAGTTTATCGATGAAAACAAACTTTGAGTCTTCTTAAAACTATACAATTTGGTTATTAATTTAATAAAATTAATATCACAAATTAATATGTAGAATGGTTCCTCTTTCATAAAAAAGCATAAACCATAACGCTACATCTGTGTCAGAGACATCTTAGGAGAGAGGGTGAATAAACTTTGGTGGAATAGCTCCTTCATCACGTTACACAAACAAACAAACAAACAAACAAACAAACAAACAAACAAACAAACAAACAAACAAACAAACAAACAAACAAAAACAATCACACTGCCAAGAGAAAGAGTCTGGTAACTCACAGGCAGAGCGGCACATGAGGGGCGGGACTAGCCTGCTCAAAAATAACCAATCAGAAAACAGACGGAAATGCCGACTGTACCGCGCAACGCTGTAGTTTTTTAGCTGTAGTAAAAAATGGCGTCTGGCGACAGCGCAAACCTCTTTCTTTTGAAGAAAGGCTTTTAGTGCTTCTACTTGTTGTGGTTTTAAAGACAGTCAAGTAATTTAGACCCGAGGAAAGAGCCGCAGCAAACTCCGCTTCAGTCGCCATGTTTATGACAAACTCGGTGTTGTGGTGTGTGACGTACGCTGCTCAGTGCTGATTGGCTCGGTTAGAATTCTCAGGGGGCGGGGTTATTTTAATAGGAGCATTACCAGACCCATTCTCTGAGCAGAATTAAACAGAGGAGGAGTCTGACAGGCCAGGCTAGCAGCTGCTACTTACCACATGGCCAGATTTATGGTGGTTCTTTCCTCCTGTGGGAAGTTTGCTGAACTCACAGCCATTTTCCCTCAGTTTTCTTCGTGTCTGGTTCGATGACGTCACTTTCATGAAACGTATTTGTAGTCCTGGACTTATTTTCACACAAAACCGAAAATATCGTTCCCCCCGTTCAAAAATAAGCACTTTCTTGGTATCGAAATATGTCTTTAAAATTCACGGACATTATATGTGAAATCCATGGTCTGAAACAAGCAGGATTAAAATAATTAATAATAATCAAAATAACGTTTTTAGCCCCGTTGACTTGTATTCATTTTTTCATTCTTTTGGGGACCCGTGATGCGGAAGTAGGTGGGCGGGACTTAGGCTCCCCATAAAGTCCGATGATTTAAACACATCAGTATGTCCGACGTGTTCTCGTAGTCGGAAAGGTTAGACCGAACTAACGTAAATTCAAACAGCACACTAATTTAAAGACAAGAGTCTCATATTGAACACACACACACACACACACACACACACACACACACACACACACAGCAGAAACAATTCAATTTTATAGGTGTGTGTGTGTGTGTGTGTAGAATTGTGTGTGTGCCGCTAAAGATTTGTGTATGTAGATAGAGCTAACTCTCTGCCATCTAGTGGTCATTTCTTAAAACCCTTTCACCACATTTTCATGACTCACGCACTCACATTAGCTAAATAACCAAATAGTTTTTCAGATTATTAAACGTTAAATGTAGGTCCATCTTTTATAACTACAGGATCCTGAGATTCTATAGTTTTCCACAGAAAAACACATTTGTCCCATTAACACAAATTTAGACTAATTCCAAAAGAAATTCAAATTTCCCAGCATTTTCCACAGAGCCAGCCTCACTGTGCTGAGCAGACGGTTGGTGCCCTCTACTGGCTGGTAGATGCAAACATAAATCCAGTGTCGTGCCCGTCAAAATAAATATTTGATTATTTTTTAATTAAAGGAAATACAGTACCTTCATTCTGCACACCTCTAAATGCCCCATGGAGGTAACATTTTTGTAAATATAGCTATTTATTAAATTGTTCCATGTCCAGCCTTTAATAATTAGAAAAAAATACTCGTTAAAGATTTGCCCCTTTAAGCCCGAGTGTCCCTCAACTTTAGCATCACAATTTATGCCCAAAATATCAATAAAAATCATCAAGTGGCACCTTTAACAGGACTATAGAGCCTGGACTACAAGACCATACAAACCTTTTTTACGTACTCCAAACACAACTAAACTGCAATGAAATGAATCGTGGAAAATCGCTCTTCATGTTGAAAAGAAAGAAAGAGGAAAACTTATTTTACACGCAGCTTTCCTCTGGTAACTCTCAGCAGAACTTCCTCTGAACTCTACACTACACCTCTTTCGACAGTGGGATGTGAAAGTTTGCGCAGCATTCATGATTTTCCTGTATAAGTCGTTGGTTGTTACAATAAATATATCATACAAGAGACACACAGTGATATTTGAGAAGTGAAACAAAGTTTATAGGATTTACAGAAAGTGTGCAATAATTGTTTAAAGTTAGCCAATCGGAGGAGAAATCACCAAATGTGAGAAAATAAGACTCCAAATCCTGTCGTCTGAAGCTTCTTTCTCCTCCAGCTGACTTGTTCTGGGCACTTCTGAGCTTTTTATCCCCTGAGTATGAACTATAAAGTATTCATCCTACTAGAGACCACTGCAGATGCTCCGATTAAACAAATGTCCCACACCTTTAAACAGCTGTACGTGAAGTAACATATGGTCATTGTTTTTTAATGTGATAAATGTGAAATGCCAGACCGAATGACATGTTGCCCTTAATGATGGTTTTAGTAGATGTTTTAGTAGTTGTTCAACAAACAGCTGAGATAAACCTGTGTCTCTTAAAGGAACAGTAACATTAGGCTACAACAGCACTTACAATAACTCCTTATGGAATCCAGATCCTGTCGTTTGAACCACCGGAGCTTTTTTCTCAAGAGAACTTCCTACTAGAGACCACTGCAGATGTATTAAAATATGAGTAAAGGACCTCTTTAAAGAGCAGACTAGCGAAGAAGGCTACAAGAAGAGACTGGGTGTTAGTGTTTACAGTCCAGGGGATGAGTGAGGCATGAAGAAGAAGAAGGAACTACTTCATCCAGCTGTCTCTGGCTGCTGGGCAGACGGCAGATGATTTGCAGCTGGGACAGGAAAAATGTGTGTGTGTGTGTGTGTGTGTGTGTGTGTGTGTGTGTGTGTGTGTGTTTTGTGTGTGTTTTGTGTGCGTAAAGACCTCTCTGCAGTCATTCACTCTTTAGAAACTGTCCCTAATGTGTTTCAGTCTGGTGGAGCTCCAGCTGCTCAGAGAGCAGACAGACCTGCAGACCTGCTGGTACCTGCAGCCGCCAGTGGCCATGGAGGAGACGCGACCACCTGTTGTGACCTCTTGTCCCTGCGGAGCGGCTCATTCTCACTGACCAGTGAACCGGGTGCCTTCTGCAGGGTGAGTGGATGAACACTTGGTCGCAGTGGTTTGAAGAGTGGATGTTCTGCGTCAGACTAACAGATGATGGGATGTAATCTGTGTTTCAGAAAATCTTTGGCACAAAGCTGAAACGAGAGTTACTCAGCAAATTTTGAATGAGTGTAGTAAGCATCTGATTGGCTGAGACCTACAGGTGTTCTTCTTTTCTTGGTGTCATGTTGACTCTCCAGCATCCAGCTCAGTGCTTTATGTGGGACGGACATTCTGACACAGTCACATCAGTGTCTGTATGCAGGGGGTTGCCGGGGCGATAAGGAACCCACTGAATGCCTTTGCAGCGTAATAATAATTCACTTGACCTTTAGTGACCCCTGTGAGGCTTTAACAACAGGGTTCCTGCTGTAGAACAGACGGTGTCACCGGCTCCAGAATGGGTTTTCTTCTGAAACAATCCAAACGAACCGATTTGTCCTCCTGAACACAAGGACGAGGTGGTTACCATCTCGTTACCATCTGCTCTCATGTCAATCATCCGCTGGCTGCAGAGTCTCAATTAAAATGTTAATGAGAGCAGAGACCTCATCACAGATGGATTCTGTCTGATCAGACTCCTCCTGTTCAATTGGGAGGAGCTTTCTTCCTCCAACCAACCTCATGTTCCCTTGATTTTATCCCTACCACCTTGTTCATCAGGATGTTTGACCAAATGGGTCCATGCGTTGTAGATTTTATTCATTTATCCCTACAATCTGGTTCTGTACCATCTGTTTTCAAACATGCAGTTATTGAACCCATCCTTTAAAACCCAAACTTGGACTCATCTCAGCTTAAAAATTACAGACCCATTTCTAAATGACCATTTATCTCTAAAATATTGGACAAGGTTGTGGCAGATCAACTGATTACTTTTCTGGAACTACACAACAGTTTTGGTAAATTCCAGTCTGGTTTTGGTAAAAAGCATTCAACAGAAACAGCTTTGCTTAAAGTTTCCAGTGACATCATGATGGCTGCAGACAACGGGGAATTCACAGTGTTAGTATTGTTAGATCTTTCTGCAGCTTTTGACACTGTTGATCACAGCACCTTCATAACATACTTGGTGACTTGGTGGGGATCTCTGGAATTGTTCTAGACTGATTTAGATTGTACTTTTCTAACAGAAGTTACAGTGTCTGTAGAAACCAAATCATGTCAGATTCTACCCATCTGTTCTGTGGGGTACCCCAAGGCTCTGTTTTGGGTCCACTGTTGTTTCTACTGTACATACACCCTCTTGGACAGATACTTGATTCTTTTCATAATGTCTCTTATCACATACACTCACCAAAAGGATTATCAGGAAAACCCCACTAATGACTTGTTTGACCCCCTTTCTCCTTCAGAACTACCTTAATTCTACGAGGTGTTGATTCAACAAGGTGCTGAAAGCATTCTTTAGAAATGTTGGCCCATATTTATAGGATAGCATCTTGCAGTTGATGGGGATGTGTTGGATGCACATCCCGGGCATGAAGCTCCCGTTCCACCACATCCCAAAGATGCTCTATCTGGTTGAGATCTGGTGACTGTGGGGGCTGTTGTAGTACGGTGAACTCATCGTCATGTTCAAGAAACCAATTTGAAATGATTGGAGCTTTATGACATGGTGCATTATCCTGCTGGAAGTAGCCATCAGTGGATGGTACATGGTGGTCATGAAGGGATGGACATGGTCAGAAACAATGCTCAGGTAGCTTGTGGCATTTAAACCATGCCCAGCTGGCACTAAGGGGCCTAAAGTGTGCCAAGAAAACGTCCCCCACACCATGACACCATCACCACCAGCCTGCACAGTGGTAACAAGGCATGATGGATCCATGTTCTCATTCTGTTTACGCCAAATTCTGACTCTACCATTTGGATGTCTCAACAGAAATGGGGACTCATCAGACCAGGCAACATTTTTCCAGTCTTCAACTGTCCAATCATGTAATTGTTTGTAATTTTAGTTGTAATAGAGGGGGTGGTGGTCGGAGGGACCGGTGGTGTCTGTGTACGGCAGCCTCGCCCCCGTCAGCGTGTCACAGGGCAGCTGTAGCTACCATGTAGCTCATCATCACCAGCGGGTGAACATGTGAAAGTTCAGACCATTTATAATGGGATCTAATTCTAAATGTGTTCCCTTTGGTGGCAAAGAAGGCTCAGCAGAGACTTTACTTCCTAAGAATCTTCAGGAAAAATAAAATCTCTCAAAAACTGCTGATATCATTCTATCTCTGTTCCACTGAGAGCATCCTGTGCTACTGCCTCTGGATGTGGTTCTCCAGCTGCACAGTAGCACAAAGGAAGTCACTTCAGAGGAATGTAGAGACAACAGTTTGTAAAAGAGAATTCACGTCCTGTAGTCTTTGAGTTCTGCCATCTGCTCGGCCCGGCCAAGCCGAGCATGTAAGCATTGACCCATCCTTCAAGGTCATACCTTCTTTACAAAACTGCAAATCTGACCGCCAGCCATCACCCTGAGGGTATCCCAAACCAGCGGTTCTGTATTCGAGGTGGAACTACGAGCTCCGAATACCACACAAGTCAACGCCACCGGCAGCCTGTCCGTACCAACTTCTCTGGCCTCTGGATTGCTAGGAGCCTTCACCACAAGGGTTCGTAGATTCTGCACGACTGGCGTGGGATGGTTTTATTAATGATAGTTTGTTAAACCGTACAGAGCGGCCCTGCGATCAGAGATCCACAAATCTGCTGCTCCCGCCTCCCGGAGCAGCAGAGCTGCGCCACCGTTGGGTTTCGCCTGGTACCCAAGTGAGGCTGTAGTTGTGCTGGGCGCTCGTGGAGCTCTTTGAGTTGATGTGTGCTTCTCTGCTGAGTCGCTCAACTGCGTTTTCTTTTGGCTAAAAGTGTACCTCCCAGGCGACGCCTCCATTTGGTGCTTTTTCCAACAGGATGTGTGTGAAGCAAGAGTCTGGCAGGGAGTGAGTTGCTGTTTAAAGAGCAAGTCACCCCCAAATCAACTTTTTTTTTTCCTGATAAACTATATAAATGTGTGTCTAATCGTGCTGCAGACATGTGTAGTCAATAGTTTTGCACTATAGTGCATTTTAGTTCAAATTTTAATGTTCTCACTAAAACTGTCAGTGTTGTACCGTTGTCAGGTAAAAACTCTGCACTGCATTTGAATTTAAATCTGCCATCACTATTGGCTAAGAGGTACCTTAGGACATTAGCTGGTACCATATGATGTCACAATGTGTTTGTGGGCCTGTGTGTTTGTGTATTTGTTAGTGGCTCCGCCCTCTCTGTCTTCTAGGCAACAGCATTTGTTGCATTTTCCAAACAGGAAGTGGAAATGGAGTAATACTCTGGTAGGGCGTGACTTGCTCTTTAATGAAATATGAGGTATTACAAACTGTGTTTTTAAAATTCACATTCCAGTTGGCGAGGCCCAGCGTGGACAGCCAGCACGAGGCTCTAAGAGGGAATTAGTTAGTTGTGAGTTCCCCTCACACGTAGTGATGAGAAACAGATACCTGTGGGATAAAAGAACTACAACCACATAAGGAGTTAAACTGACAGAACAGAAACAGAAATGACTAAATGATGAATGAAGGCTGATACAGGATGAAATGTTACTCAAGTGTGGTTTTTTATCAAAAAGAGCTAAAAATAGTTTTACAGGAAGCACAAAACATGCTTTAGTCGGTGTTCTCTGCTCACCTGAGCCTGACAGGTGTGTTTGTTCTGCAACACCTGTCAGCTGACAACATGTCGCTGAGATTCTTTTAAAGCACAAACCACCCCTCATCGCAGTGGCCTCCGACTCCATCAATGCCTTCACTTCCCAGCATGCATCTCTTCCAAGTTGAACCTCTTTTTTCTTCACACAAAACAAATGATGTGAGGAGGTCGTCTCCTCTGATCACCGAGGAAACACACCTGAGAGGCGACAGCTCCTACTTCCTGCTACCTGTGATGGAAACCACTGGAGCTAAAGGTGCTGCAGAGGTTATGCAGGTGTTTAACAGCTGAAACTGTTGGAGGGGTTGGGTCGACTCCTCTCACTGCTGAGGGCAGCGAGTGACAAGTAAGGCTGACTGTAGCTTTGGCTCCGCCTCCAGACTTGGAAATGACAGAAACATTGAAACGAGCTGAAAGATGGATTAGAAAACAAGCCAGACACACCTGGACTGGTTAGCTTAACTACCTTCACCAGAAACCTGCAGAACCAGCTATTCAACCTGAAGACTTGGAGACACCAGAGTGCACCTCCTGCGCCTCCCTCAGAAGGAGGTGTCACAGATGGCTTAGATCTTCTATTTCAGCTCCTCAGTAAAAGTTTGCTGCAGATATTCTGTTTTTACACTTAAGGACTTCATCAAATCCGTCAAGAGAAACTAGATGAGAACTAACAGAACCTGAAAGCTTGGATTGGTGGAAAACAACATTTGTTTCTTACCTGCTGCGAGCCGAGCTGAGACACCTTCTCCTCTCCTGGGAGTTCCTCCTCAGCAACACGACACGTCCATCAACACTCCAGAACGCTGCTATTTTTACTATCCACATTCAACATTCAGAACCAAAGTGACCACAGGATCACAAGAACCTACACACAACCCTAAAGGTCCACTTTCCTCTCAGCATGGTAATGAGACGCAGGACTCTCTTTTTTTCTGTGCTTCATGACAAAAGAATCATTAGTCTGCTAAGGAGCCCAGACCCTGATATAAAAGCATCATGTATAACTATTAAAGCCGACCTGCGGTTCTCCGGACTGACCCGGTCCCTGCCAGACCACGGGACCGGGCCAAATCCCTCAGATTCAGAGAAGAAGGTGTTTCATCATTTTGTGTTTCTGATTGTTTTGTTGTTGCAGAGTGAGGAAGACGATGCCAGGAGCATCACAGCTTCATCCATCATTGTGAGTTCATCTCCCCTCTGTGTGTGTGTGTGTGTGTGTGTGTGCATAGGTGTGAGTGTGTGTGCGTGTGTGTGTGCGTATGTGTGTGTGTGTTCATGTGTATGTGTGTGTGTGTGTGTGTGTGTGCGCGCGTGTGTGTGCATGGGTGTGAGTGTGTGTGTGTTCATGGGTGTGTGTGTGTGCGTGTGTACATGGGTGTGTGTGTGTGTGTGTGTGTGCGTATGTGTGTGTGTGCATGGGTGTGCGTGTGTGTGCATATGTGTGTGTGAGTATGTATGTGTGTGCATGTGCATGTGTATTTGTGTGTGTGTGTGTTTGTGTTTGTGCATGTGTGTGTGTGTGTGTGTGTGTGTGTGTGTGTGTGTGTGTTTTGGGTAGCGGTGAGCTGACCACTGCAGACATACATTAACGGACCTGTTATAGCTTAAATGTGGGCATGTCTAACATCAATATTTACATTTACAGTTATTTGGACTTCATTCACTAAACAGATCAGTTTATTAGCTCTACCCACCCAAACCCAGGTGGCGTTAGAGTGGACCATCGACATAAGGAGTGGACACTCATCTATGCTCCCCCCCCCCTCCTCCCCCCAGTCTGTGTTCCAGAGGGTGCCGATGGATCCTCTGGAGAAGGACTGGTTGAGGAGCTGTACTCTGGGGAACGTGTCGGTCCAGCGTCTGCTACTCGCTCAGGACCCAAACTTGGTGATGAAGAAGGTCTGTTTCCTGAGAGTAGTCTAGAAAGTTCTGGTTCTGATTAGTTTGTTAGGAATGACATGCAGGAGACTGGACTCATGATTTCTCTTTGCTGTCATCAGGATTTCATCACTGTGAGTATAAACCAGATTGTATAAAGTATTACAGCAACAACAAAAACAATAATGTGGACCTGGTACCTACTCACAGAATTTATCGGTTCTGTTTTGGGGTACATGGAACCTGCGTTCACACATTTTCTGAAGTGAGCTGCAGACACGGCTACGCTCAGGAACTATTTGGTGGTTTAAAACTTGGAAAATTTGGAAATTTCAGTTTGAGAGAGAACATTTAGTATTAAGGTCGACATCACTGAAAAAAACATTTTTAATTATTAATCCTGATCATAATCAGTCACAGAAGCTAACGTTAGCATTGGCAACTCCACCACACAGCAGAACTCCTCCAGGCTTGTATTATTTGTGGAGATGAAACATCAACGTTGCAGATCAAACAGAGTCAGTGGTAGAGTCGTGCTGCTATTAGCCAATCAGAGGAGAGATGTCCAGTACCAGGAAGTATCCTGCCTCCTCTGGCTGAATTCTCCTTGCTGAAACAGGCACCAGAGTACGACTTACAAGGCATTCGTTTCTACTAGAGACCACTGCGGATGTGTTAAAATTAGGGATGGGTACCTTTGACATCTGAATCGATACGGTACCAATTCCTGGTACCAACACATCGATACCGGTACTTAACAGTACCAATTTTGATACTTTTGAGTGTTTATTAATTATTTTAATTGCTTTTTTAATTAATTAATATATATGTAACCATATTTGATACGTTTCTTGATAAATAACAAACAACAGTTTGTATTTTATCATCGAAGTGTTGTACAAAGTTCTTCAACATGAAAACCTTTAACAACAATTTCTAAATGAAAACAAACCTAGCTCCATGTACTCCTAATTCTCTTCTAAACCCTCTGGAATATTTCTGACCATGTGTTATAAACTACAAATGAAACTAAAACAAACATCGATACCAAACAACAGTTTGTATTTCAATATTGTGGTGTTTCACTAACTAAACCAGCTCCATGTACTCCTGTTCCTCTCCTTTCTCCTCTGGATTAACTGTGTGATGGTGGTCCTTGTAGTTTTATAAACTGTGTGATGGTGGTCCTTGTAGTTTTATAAACTGTGTGATGGTGGTCCTTGTAGTTTTATAAACTGTGTGATGGTGGGTCCTTGTAGTTTTATAAACTGTGTGATGGTGGGTCCTTGTAGTTTTATAAACTGTGTGATGGTGGGTCCTTGTAGTTTTATAAACTGCTGATTACACTGAAGCCAACATCTCTGCTGTGAACTACATTCACTGTGCATCTTCATTCCTTTTGTAGTTCATTTTCAAACTGTTTATTTTTCCTACTGGGCAGTTGGAATTTCCAAGGAGAAAGCGAACACACCATTAGCTGTGTAAACTAAAACTAAACTATCAGGCCAACCTGATCTTAAACAGGTTATTTTGCTGCTGGGGCAGATTAAGATGCCTCATACTCATAATCGTTGTCGCTGGTTTCATCATCACCCAACAGCCCATCATGTTTAGTGAAGTGAAGCCAAACTTTAGAGCGTGTTCTCTTTCTTCTAGTCAGAATGTTGACCTTCCGAGGAGAAAGCAAACGCACCGTTAGCTGAATGGAAGCTAACATATCAAGCTAACGTTACCTTAAACATTTTATTTACCCACCGGAGCAGATTAGGATGATGATCGTTGTTGCTGGTTTCCTCACCACCCAGTTACCCTTCCCATTTAGTGAAGTAGACCCAAACTTCAGAACACTTCCTGTCTGCCATGCTGCTTTGTTTACAGCTCGCCCACATTGACTGACGGCATCACGCTCTTGCGCTGGCGCGCGGCACGTTACCGAAACAAGTCACTGTTTCATGTGACATGAATCGGTACTCAGGCAGTACTATGGAATTCGGTCGGTGCTTTAAAAAGTACCGAGTTCGGTCCCCATCCCTAGTTACAATGTGAATGAAGTTGACTTTACGGAAAATAAATGCTCCGACCCAGTGGTGTCCTGCTATTGGACTAAAGAGAGGGAGGTAGTCTGGGTAGGAATGCTGAAGACGAGTCCATCAGGTGGAGACAGATGTGCTCACATCTTTGTAACTGGGTTGGTGCAGAAGGATGGCTCTGAGCTTCAAAAATTCTGTATTAGATAATGAAGTCCATGGTCCAGTTCTGGTTCGGCTGGACCAGAACCAGCTTGTCATAGGTCCAGCTGTGCAGGAACCTGTAGGTTATCGAGTTATTATTGTTCTGTTGACTGTTTGTGTTTGTGCTTCTCTGACCCTGACCCAATGAAATCTGGACCTGGTTCTACTGAAGGGGGTGAGTTGTGTCCGACTGCGTTAACACCACCCACGAACACACAGAACAGCAACAAGGCAGTGCCTCTGACCTCCTAACCCAAGGGATGAGCCCGAACCTAATCAATACAGAGCAGGGGCAGAGTCCTGACTAAAACCCTTCTTCAGCAGATAACTTCACCAAGCAGAACTGCGATCACTACTGAGTGATTTTAAGGACCTTTTTACTCATAATGCTAGCTGGATCCATTCACTTACTGTCTTTTATGCTAAGCTAACGCTAAAGGAGTACAACTGCATGTTTGGTTCTTTTTAAAACACAGAAAAGGCTTTTTTACTTTGCTGACAGTTTCGTTTACCGACTGCAAACTTCCTCAGAGCTGACGCTGATGGTGACATCACTTCCTTCTCCGTTTATCTGCGGACAGCAAATGGAGCAGTTAGAAACCAGACACAGGAAGAACTACCAAAGATGTCTAAATGAGTACAGCCTGGTCAGGAGAATGTTTTTCCCACTTATCTAATACTGGGAATATTTCAAACATGGGTGGAATGTCCCTTTAATGAAAACATTTCATCTGACCCTAAAGGGCTTCGGGCCGCCTGCTGGAACGAGCCGAAACCCGACAGCAGCACCTCTGTCTGCGTTGCTGTGTTCTAGTTTATCGTTTTATTCACACACACACACACACACACACACACACACACACACACACACACACACACACACACACACACACACACACACACACACACACACACACACACACACACACACACACACACACCTTTAGCTCACTAACGATGTGTTTTTGCTTCCTTGGATTCTTTTGGACCGACCCAGTTTGTGAGTCCAGCTGTGTGGTTCTGAGTTGTTGTTGTGTGTTGTGAGGTCATGTCAGGGGGTGGGGCCTATTGTAGACAGATAGAAACAGGCTTCAGGGGATGTAAGACATGCCTCGGACTACAAACGTCCTTAAAGTCCAGATCAGGAGGCCCCACCCACTCACCTGGCTGAAGTCCATTCTAACCCCACTGTTCAGATCATAGCAGATATCAGTGTTAGCGTCATGCTAAGTCATGAAGGAAAATGTTTGCTGAGAAAAACTGAACTACTTCCACAGCAGCTACTTTCAAAATAAAACATTGGACACCATCACAAATAAAAGCTTTGATAAAAAAAAAAACAATCCAAGGAAGCCTGAAGTACCGTGTGGTTCTGCTCTGTGGAACCTTCAGTTTGGGCCTGCTCTAGTTATTACCTCGACTAGGGGGCGTACCAGACAGAGAGTGAGTGTCATCTTAAGTACCTCACGATTCAATCACCATGATCACCACTGTTTGTGTGTTCAGACAGCGCTTCACTGGGCAGCAAAGCAGGGGCGTCTCGACTCTGTGGACATGATGCTTCACTATGGAGCTGACGTCAACGTCAGATCGGTGAGTGTGTGTGTGTATTTGTTTGTTTGTTTGTTTGTTTGTTTGTTTGTGTGTGTGTGTGTGTGTGAGTGTGAGTGTGAGTGTGAGTGGAGGAAAATATTTTTGGATATAATGGACGAGTGGATGTGGATGGCTGTTAGCATGTGTAACACTGTCTCTCGTCTCTCCACTCTGGCTGACATCAACTCCTCTCCTCTTCAGCATGTGAGTTCAGATAATCCCCCCCCCCCGGCAGTGTCCGATCCGGTCCTGGTCCTCGCTCCGTTCCCGTGACAGCAGATTGTTACATCCTGTAGGGTTGAGATGTTTGTCTCTGCTTCAAACAATGATTGGGTGGATAACTGAGGCCTGAGGAGCAGAGGACCAGGACCAGGACCAGACCTGCCCGCCTGCCTTAGATGTGATGATGAACTTGTTGGTGTTCTGGTTTTAACTCTTTAACTCAGAGTTTCTCTGTTCCTCCTGAAGGGGGTGAGTCCAGACGGGATGGAGCTGTTTCCTCTCAGATCCGATCCAGCAGCTGGGGTTCTGATTGTCATCTCTGCATGGTTGTTGATTTAGTTCTGAGTTTTTAAAAGAGTGTGATATAACTCGACTAATCAGAAATATGCAGAGCTTTAAGCTCCACCCACAGCCTGACCTTCCAGCTGTGGACTGGATGCATGTCCGACCCTGAGACCAGACAGGTTCTATTAAACTTCCACGGCTGTTGCTACCTGAGGCTGTTTCTGGTTCTGTTGGTACCGCCGGTGGCCAAGAGCATTGGTTCTGCTGCTGAATTTAAACCAACCTGACAGGATGTTGGCTTTAGATACACGCTTGTATGTGTGTGTGTGTGTGTGTGTTAGCATATCTTAGCGTGCACAGAACATGTGTCTCACCTGTTATCTGCAGGGCTACACAGCTCTTCATCTGGCCTCCATCCATGGACATCAGGACATCGTCCAGACGCTCATCAGCTCTCACAGTGAGTCCAACCTGAGGACATGTTTGTTCATCAGATGCTCAAGCTCAGGGCTCTCTCAGGCTTCTCCTCCAGATGTAAAATCTAGTTTGGTGAATTTAGTAGACCAGAACCCTCTGGGTGGTCCCTGCTGAGAGGAGAGGTTTGCTGTTCCACAGACTGCACACGTTTCTTTATACACATTGGTATTCACACTGAGAGTCCGTTCCTCGCACTCTCACACAACCCAACGAGGTGCTGTTGTAAATCACTGCTGCCGACACAGAATGACTCCCCATGGCCCAGGAGGAGACGAGGCCAGGAGCTCTTCCTGCTGCTGGTGTGGCTCAGCACTGTCTCCAGCTGGCTCCATGATGGACATGGCTCATAAACATCACACCTATATCTAATGGAAGGTGGGAAGGAGGCGGGACATCATCTGATCCCATCTGCCAATCAGATGTCTTCAGTTCAGACTGGCAGTGAGATACGTCCGAAACAAGAGGCGGGATTTCAAACCGAGGTTGAGAAGGGAGAGAAAGAGAAGGACTGGGTCAGTTTAAAGGACGAACGAACCAATAAGAGAGCACCATTACTCAGGTGGTTTGTGTGTGTGGAGGAGAGGAGTTCATACAAAGTTCAATAGGTGTTTTTATCTGTGTACTTATACACTGCCCAGCAAACAAAAAGGTCTCACACACTAATATCTGGTTGGGCCTCCTTTAGCTTTTATTACGACACACACTCGCTGTGGTGGTGTTTCCATAAGCTTCACCAGGTCCATTCATGTTGCATTAATGTCTCCCAAGATCTTGCATTGATGATGGTAGAGTCTGACCGCTGCACAAAGCCTTCTCCAGCACATCCCATAGATGGGGTTAAGGTCTGGACTCTGTGGTGGATCCCTGAACCACTCTCACTGTCTGAGCCGATGAATCCTGGCATTGTCACCTTGGAATATGCTCGTGCCATCAGGGAAGATGGAATAACCTGGTCATTCAGGATATTCAGGTAGTCAGCTGACCTCATTCTTGGAGTGCATCCTGTTGGTGAACCTGACCACCTGCAGCAAGCCCAGATCATAGCACTGCCCCCACAGGTTTGTACAGTAGGCACTAGGCATGATGGGTGCATCGCTTCATCTGCCTCTCTTCTTACCCTGATGCACCATCACTCTGGAACAGGATCCATCTGGACTCATCAGACCACATGACCTTCTTCCATTGCTCCAGAGCAGTGTTGTTTTTGGCTGGCATCTTAGTCTTAGTCAGTTTTAGTCGACTAAAACTCAAAAAGGGTTTAGTCAACAAAGGTTTTTGTTTTTAGTTTTATAGAAAATGAGTATTATTTTCTAACAAATACATGTGTTTGTCAGACGTGTACTCCGAGCTACTGGAGTGGGTTTCATACCAACATCAGGGCTATGGGACCCAACCTCAGCTGCTGTCCAGTAAAACAATAATCATTTCCTTACTTTACTGATCAGCACTATGCTGTACATCATTTATTTTTGCTGACCATTCAGTAGATTTTCACAAAAGAAAAAAGGTGAATTACTTTCCTCAGGGAGCGTCGTCTATTCTACACCAACTTTAGTTAGAAAGAAAAGTCTTTCTTTAATTTATTTATTATTCCAGTTGATATTCCTGCAACTTAGTGCCTTTAAGTGTGTAATGCTGAACGCCAGCATTTAAGGAAGCACACGTGTTTGTGTGTGTGTGTGTGTGTGTGTGCATGTGTGTGCGTGTGTACATGTGTGTATGTGTGTGTGTGTGTGTGTGTGTGTGTGTGTGTGTGTGTGTGCATGTGTGTGCGTGTGTACATGTGTGTGTGTGTGTGTGTGAGCGTGTGTATGTGTGCGTGTGTGTGCGTGTGTGTGAGCGTGTGTGTGTGCGCGTGTGTGTGTGTGTGTGTGTGTGTGAGCATGCGTGTGAGTATGTGTGTGTGCGTGTGTGTGTGTGAGCATACGTGTGTGTGTGTGCATGTGTGTGTGTGTGTGTGCATGTGTGCGTGTGTGTTTGTGAGCGTACGTGTGTGTGCATGTGTGCGCGTGTGTGTGTGAGTGTGTGTGTGTGTGTGAGCGTGCGTGTGTGTGCATGTGTGCGCGTGTGTGTGTGTGAGAGTGCGTGTGTGCATGTGTGTGTGCGTGTGTGCATGTGTGTGTGTGTGAGCGTGCGTGTGTGTGAGCGTGCATGTGTGTGTGTGTGCGTGCATGTGTGTGTGTGCATGTGTGTGTGTGTATGTGTGTTTGTGCATGTGCGTGTGCGTGCGTGTGAGCGTGCATGTGTGCGTGTGCGTGTGTGTGTGCGCGCGTGTATGTGTGCATATGTGTGTGTGTGCGTGTGTGCATGTGTGTGTGTGCGTGTGTGTGTGTGAGCGTGTGTGTGTGAGCGTGCGTGTGTGCATGTGTGTGTGTGTTCACACGCATAAATCAACACAAAAAGATCCGGAATGTTTTTTTCTCTTCATCAGATGCTAAAACCAACATCAGAGATTATCACGGGAAGATGGCCATCCAGTACTGGACCTGTACCCGTCCTGGTACCACCAGCATCTTCAACCAAGAACCTGCTCTCTCTGGTGAGTTAAATGACTACGTTTTTGATGCAGTCTGCCGGGTTCCTAACCAGCTGGCTTAAGGAACTTGATGATCTGGCGCTGCATAAAAACTGAACTGAATTTTCCTGCAGGTGGACTCTGGTTACCTGACTACCTTGTTACTTGTCAAAACAAAAGCATTTTGATGTTGTCTAAAACCATTTAGTTTAGCTTTGTTAAAGTCAGATTAGAGACCAATCAGGTGTTTCTTATTGTTGTTTATTCCAGATGGGGGGAGGTTTAGCCAGGAGCGCCGGACGCAGCGCTTCGCTCTGCCGTCCCTGAGGTTGTCTCGCTCCCGCAGTCATGGACAGCTCCACCTGGACTTTGGAGCGCTGCCATCAGCCTCCTGTGATGCGCTGGACCTCCATGTATGATGTCACCATGCTGCTGAAACACCTGCAGATGTGTTGTCCTCTCACCTGGCAGAAAACACACCTGTATATTTTCCTCGTGGTAACAGAAGAGATGAGACAGGCCGACTTTCACAATAAGATCAAAAACAGTCTAAAACTTTTCATGTTTGAACAGAAGAGCCCGCTGAGGTTTAAGTCCTCTGTTGCCGTGGTAACCAAGGCTGGGCTCTAAATCGCCATGTTAATGAGTCGTGCCAGGTTGGGATTTCTTTTCCTACCAAATAAATCATGAAGTGAATCTTAATCCTTCATTGTGCTCAAATTTCTTTTAATCTCAAAATAACTTTTAGAAGAAAATTGGTGAAATATTAAAAAATACAAAAATATTTACATTTATTTCTATTAAAAAAACAAAAATATTAACATTTATTTCTATTAAAAAAACGTAAACACCTTTCTCCTGGGGAGAAAACCAGGCCTGGACCCTTCTGGATCAGTACCTGCACCAGTGAACTTTGACTCTTCCACATGTTTTACACACACCTGTGTGTGCAGGTTGGGTTCCTGCTGGGTTCCATCAGAACTTCTGACCCACCTTCGCTCAGAAACACCTGCCTGGTCTCAACCGAGTCCTTTAGAAGATGAAGGAGTTCTAACGGGTCAGCGATGCAGGCTGGAGTTTCCAGTCTGAGCTAAACAGGCTCTAAAACACAGTGGAGAACTTTGGACTTTGATGAAGCTTAGAGACGCTGTTGGATCCAAACTGCTCCTCTTTAGTATCAGCTCAGCAGCCTGAAGGACCATGTTCTGGTTCTGAACATAAAGGATTAGAGGACAGAACCAAGCTTAGTTTACAGATGACACCACCGTCATCAGACTCGTCTCTGACGGGGACGAGTCTGCCTACAGAAGGAGGTCCAACCGCTGGTGTCCTCCTGCAGCCACAGCAACCTGGTGCTAATCCCATAACCCCCATGTCTGACACCCCCATCACGATGGACTTATGTCTCTTCCTGGGCACCACCATCACCCAGGACCCCCAGTGGGAGCCCACCATCACCCCCACAGCTGACCCGTCTCACCCTGGACAGTCTTTGACTCGCTCCCATCTGGCAGGAGACTCAGATCCATCCGGACCAGAACCTCTTTCCCTCTGCTGATGGACTTATGAATGTCAATCATAGGACCGCCCACTCTAGTCACCTGACCCAGTGTTGTGTTCGGGCTCTGAGCAGTACCGACACTGTCTTGTATATATTAGTTATTTCCTAATGCTGTCAACCTGCTCACACATAGAAACCCTTCTGGTTCTGGTTCTGAACACAACCGGATCTCTTCAACCTGCAGCTTCCTGCTGTAGCACTGCTGGTGTTCTGTGGTACTGTCAGGGAGCAGAACCCGACCCGCTGTCAGAGTGTTGGGTTCCTTCTGTACAGAACCTCTGATCCAGTCCTCATCTTTAATCTGACTTCCCAGCAGCGACACGTCGCTGTAACCTGTTAGTGGTTCTGATCCAGTTCTCCAGGGATTCTGAAGGTCTTTATTTTAGACTTTGGCTGATTTTTTTTAGTTTTAGTTCTGGTACCAGAACTTCGGCCCAGCAGGTTTTTACTGAGATTCTGGATGTTCTGGTCAGGATCCTGCCTTTATAGTGGCTTATCCAGTTGAGAACTGCTTCTGAACGGTACTTCAGGTGGCCCAGTGGACCAAGTGACCCGGTCCAATCCTGATGTGATAATTCTTGTCTCCCGTCTGTAATGAGCTCTAATTCCCGGCTCGTCTGATAATCCCTTCTGGATGCCAGCTTGATCCGACGCTGAGCTTCATAATTCCAGAGGCAGAAAATCATTATCCTGAGTTTGGATCCAGGAAGAAGTCAGGGAATCAATCTGGGTCGGTTCTGAGGCCCAATCCCAAGTTAATGATTTAATCACAGCTGTAAGCTCCTCAGAGTCAAGGTGTGTGTGTGTGTGTGTGTATGCATAACATCTGCCATGGCGCTAAAGACCATTTTTGTTTAATAATAATTTATACATTATTGATCCTCTAAAGGAGCAGCAGGAGGGGGGTCTGGTCTGGTCTGGTCTGGTCGGGTCGGGTCGGGTCAGTTTGGGGCAGCACTCAGCCTCATAAGCGCGGAGGGAGGAAGGGGGGACCCACGGCACTTGCAAGGGGGAGGGGGGCGTGCGACCTTTACTCTGCACAAAAATAGCATGAGGTGATCCGTAAACACTTCCAGGTGATCCGGATGTTCTACTGAAAAAACTCAGCAGAAGAAGGCTGGTGCTGCTGGACTTTCTGCTCTGTCTTTTGGCTTTTTTTGTTTTTGTGAAGCGCTTCGTGATTTTTATCTTGAGAGGCGCCATATAAAATATCGATTTATTTATTTCTTTTGTCAGACTCTGAACCATGAGCAACCGGTGACTCCGCCCCCTAGCCGATCAGCGGCCACAGTCGTGATGCTGGCCCGACTCAGCCTCGCCAGGAACCTCAACAGAGCCCAGACTACAAATTGGGAAAAAGTAGAGTGAAAATACAGAACCGTGCTCTTGAAAAAGGTGGTTGGGCCGAGCTGCACAAATCCGAGTTACTCTGAGTAGTGCTAATGGAAAACCAGCTTTAAAGAACCGACTAGACCAACCCAACCTGTTTGTAGTTGACAGAACCTTCATCAAAGTTCTGGTGCTGCTCGTCTCTGTCAGCCTGAACCCCCTCTGAGTTCCTGTGGGTCCTGTGGACCCGTTTCAGAGCAGTTCAGAGTGACGGCAGGAGGAGGGGAGTCGGCAGGAACACAGAGCCATGTTGACAGCATAGTAAAACATCTCCACACGTCTGTCCTCCAGCTGTGACCTTCTCCTCTGAAGAGAATTCAGCAGGGAGCTTTTTACACATTTCAAAGTTTAATCGTCTCCAATTTCAGGGTTTTTCTTCTAAACTGACACCTTTGTCTGGTTTAAACCTTCCATCACGATCCGCCGGAAACCGAGATGAAACGTTTTGCTGCTGCCTGACTGAAACGTAAAAGATGGTTAGAAGAGAGAAAACAGAAGTGGCCTGCTCTCTTGATCTTCTTCATGTCATGATGAAGACTCTCTCTCTCATCTCCTGAGTGAACCTGTCTCCAAGTGTCTCATTCGATTCGTCTCTGAGGACAAAAAAAGACATGGTGCTTCCTGTTTCCTGTGACAGATAAAACCTTCAAGCCTTCTGAGTTTCATTTTAAGGACCAGATAGTCACATTTCAGCTCTGGAGAACATCTGGAATTCCAGAGACCAATCCCAAACTGGGAAAACATTCCAACATCTAGGGAACGTGTTTGATCTCAGAACAGCATTAACTAATCGTGTTCTGACATCATCAGCTGATAAAGAGCTTCAGGAACCTAGGAGATGTTTACCAGGTAACTACTGCCAAACTAGTTAACCAGTCAGAGTTAACCGATGGGAACTCAGATGTTTGATAGTTTACCTGCAAAACACTACATTTACCTGGGCAGTTCTCTGAATTGGGTGCCCTTTGCATCCCAGAGGTTTACCAGAAGATTTTTTACATAAAGTAAATCACAAAATACATTTAACCCTTTGATGCATAATGATCACTACAGTGGACAGGTACTCAAAATTGTTATTTATTCATTTTTGCTATTAAGCACAGCTGTTCAAGACTTTATTGCATTTGAGCCCCTCGATTTGTACTTCAGTAAGTCAAGCCAACATATTTCATGTTCAGATTGCACGCTGTCCACTGAGGTGGACATGTAATAAATTATTTGTAAATTAAATGTTATAAAAAATATGTAAATATGAAATATGTTTCATTCTGTCACACGTGCCGGCTGGATGAAGCGGAGAAGAGGTGAGGATCCAGACCGGGGAGGAAGCAGGCAGACAGGTAGGATTTTTTAACGGGTTTATTAGAACGCACGCTAGACAACGAAACAATGAACCGACACAAGACACAGAACAGAAGGGGTTTAAATACAGGAGGACCGGGAGCTAAGGTGATTGGGAAAACGAGAGGCAGGTGGAAGTAATTAACGAGACACAAGGCTGAACCAAACAGGGAGACAGGACAGGGTGTGACACATTCACTCCTAAAGATGAAAGAAAAAATTTGTTAAAAAAGATCATGGTTGAAGATTTCATAATTTATGCATCAAAGGGTTAAAACAAGAAATTTAAAGATCTGTGCTTCTTTGCATAAAGACACACAAACATAACTTAAAAATTACGTTTTAAAAGTTTTCTGTCGGGAGGAGTCAGCCAAATGTCCCCAAGGACCAAAGTTGCTTTTCCACTGAACATAATTATGTAACCAGAATTTTTTTTCTGCCAACACAATTATTTGCCGCTCTCCTTTAACACAACAAAACAATATACGAGAAAAATAAATAAAAATTCACGATTTAATCATGTCCCCAGTTTTGTTCAACCCTGAAACAGCACATTAATATTCTCTTTTTTAAGTAACTTCCTCTGCAGCCGTTTATATCAGCCCATATTCTCTGGTACTTCATGTATTTTTCAGCTGAGTTCATAATCTGTGCCCCAGTGATTTCAAGTCATTGCTGCTGGAGCGCAGCACATATTAAGCTTTTTTTTTTGCGTTCGGTAGATCCCTTTGGCTGATTAGTTAGAAAGTAGGAAATCTAGGAAACAGTTTTTCTGGAAGACGGAGAAAACATGCAGCATGCAGGAAGGTTAGAGAGAGAAAGGGCAGGAAATTATTCAAATAAAATCAAGAAAAAAAAAGTAGGTAGATTTATCCCCAATACACATTTTTACCAGTGAAATGCAATAATATATAAGCATTTAATATTTATACATGTGACAGAATCAGATCACCCCAGAAGTCAGTCCCACATCCAGGGCCGTTTCAAGGCATTTGGGGAACAAGGCAAATATAGGCGTGGAGCCCCCACCACCTCACTCCCTGCTCAGATGGCCCTATAAGATGGCAGCGTGCTGAGAGTACAGATTGTTGTTGCTTTTATTTAATAAACAATCATTTTAAAGCACTGTTATTATATCCGACTGTTTTTAACAGCAACCCTAGCTCAGACACCACATCACTTTTCACATATATGTCATGAGCTCACCGGGCGTCAGATTACCAGATTCATACTGAAGTTGTTTTGGTGAAAGTAACTTAAAGTAATGCAAAAGTGGTGTAATGCCTTACATTTGAAAATCAGTAATACAGTAATGTAATGAATCACTTTAAAATGAGGGTAAAAAGTAATAAATAATGCATTAAAGTTTTGAAGTAACTTGCCCAACACTGGATGTGGGGGATTCAACACC